AGAACAGGAGATCAAAAGTTGCATAAAAATTTTAATTTCCTAAAAATCTTTGCATTTGCCTATATAAATTAAGTAAAATGTAATTTTGTGCAACATTAGAGCAAGCAAATTATTACTAATGTAGTATATCTTTATAATTGATAATATAGAAGAAATCATAAAAGACTGAACAGATGTCTCTTCAATACTATTCTCAGAAAAGCCATTCTTTTTCCCCATTCTATATCACCTTTTTTACTTGAACTTCATCAATATATAAATTCATGAATTGTTCATGTCTCAATAATAACAAGCAGCTTACTTAATGTATGACGGTTTGATTTGACTTGATTTAGTTTATTATGGCAAAACACACCAGAAGGCCAATCCCTCCCCAGACAACCTTGTAAACCTCTAACCATGTAGTGTCCCCACAACCAAGTGGCAGACAATACAGTACCGTATGGTCCCTGCCAAACCTACACTGTATAAACAATGGTTCTAGCCACTGTGAAGACTAAATTTTTCCCCAGAAATCGAGTCTGTCTAGATACTGACTTAGCCAGAATGCTGGGTTTGCTCCCAGTCAACCCCTCAGGGGGTGAGTTTGTGGGACACAAACCATGGGTTTTCTTGCATGCAGTCCAATCTTGTTAGGCCTTTGTGCAGCAGTAGAATGGCTAATTCGAGTTCCTGTGGCAGCCTGAAGGCCTAAAATGAAATCTCTTTTAGTTACTTTGCGGTTTCTTCAAACCAAAAGCGACAGAAAACAGTCTTCCGATGCAGTTGTTGCTCTTGGTCGCCCTTGACCAGGTTGACTGTCAACTGATCTATTGCTTGAAAAGGAGTTTCAAACTCTTGATATGATACTTTGAGGGATATTCGAATCTTGGACAACCTCCATTTGTGTTTGACCTCCATTGATTCTACCAATTATTCACCACTTTTGACCTTAATTTATATGATGCCTTTGAGCCATAATTACTGAATATTGATCACTCTCAGTAACCACATTCACTTTAAACAGCACTATAGACCGGAATTCCACCACAATGTCAATCACCGAATTTGCACATTTCCAGCATTAATGTATGTGCGGAAGTGCAATTTTGTGTTCAGTTGTATTTAATTGACATGAATATTTACAGCACTGGGCATTGATTGCAACATTAACTTAGTGAGCATATTTTTCTCATTATCCTTTAATTTTAATTACAAGTGTACTATGCTGGAAGGAATCCTGTGTATGAAGAATGCAAATAACTTGAATTCAAAAGTTGATTGGAGTAGTATTTTATTGCTCACATGTAACATTGTACTTCTTGATATTTTTAGAGATTTGAAATGCCCAGTTTGCTAATTGTGTAGCAGAGTTCCTAATGTGGTGGTAAGATGTGAAGTTATAGCTGATATCTGGAATGCATTTGCTTCTTATATAGTTTTATGCATAAAGAACACTTCAAAAATTGCTGTTTGGATTTTGTAACTGAAGGCATAAAATTATTAATGCTGGCCTTTGAATGGGGTGCCATTAAGATCAAAAAACATTACTCAGCAAGTTGGTAACTTGCCCTCATGAAGTGAAAATAAATAATAAATCTCAGTGCTAAGGAAGCAGTTGCAATGATTAATTTTATGGATTGAAATTTGTACTGTTATTTGGCGAGAAAAGAGCGGTAAAACATTTCATATCAATTTTAAGTTAATTTTTATTTTGGGCATTTGAGATTTACACATTGCAGAAACAATTAAAATCTGCAGTCATTTGGGAAGTATCTAAGTTTTATTATGTTAAATGCAAAATGATGAAAGATTTAGTTTGCATTCTTTTTCAAACACAAGTAGCTAAGGTTTTAAGAGCATAAACGTGCCATAGCTGGAGTTAAGTGAATAGCTATACTGAGCTCAAAGTCATTTGTTGGACTGTGATATTTTGTGTAGAAAAGCTGAAGTTAGTCCATCATAGGCTGACTAGCCAAAAAAAAAAAAAATTATTTAGAATAAGATTTTATTGGACCATAAGATTCTTGCCATTCATTTCGTTGGGCAGGAAGACTTGCAGATCACAATTATTTTTGAGCAGAGTTGCATCAACAACTGTTCAGGGCTCTTGACAGATGAAGGATGAATTGAATCACTTCTTAGATATTTAGGTGTGTCCCATATTTTGTCAGTTTAGGCAGAGATCAGGACTTTGAGATATTTTTTTATGTATGAATGTTCTGAATTTAATGTTTCATAATTTGAATTAGGAATATTGACATTATTGTCCCATATTTTGTCAGTTTAGGCCGAGATCAGGACTTTGAGATATATTTTTTATGTATGAATGTTCTGAATTTAATGTTTCATAATTTGAATTAGGAATATTGACATTATTGTCTTAGGGAAATTCATTGATGAAATGACTAGGTCATTCATTATCCAGGGATGCTCTCCTGCCTTCATTTTATTGTGATATACAGTGTTGTGAATTTAGTCCAGTCAAACAGAAACAGCCCCAGATCATAAGATTCTCTTGAATCATGAACAGTGGGTCTTATGCTTCATGCATTTTCTTCTAATCCTTCTCTGGAGGTACTCCTGATGCTTCTAATTCTGATGTATTCATGATTTAAGAATAAAAATTTGGACTCATTAGATCGCAATATTTTCATGCAGCTATAAAGTTAAATCTTTGTTCCGTGGCAAATTGGAGTCATTAATAGTGGTATGTATGGAATACGCACTGTGTGCATAAAAGTCTTTATCCGGCTTTTCAGAACTATAGGTCATAAACAAAGTACTTCCATTTCCAAAAGTGTTTGAAATTATTTGGCATATTCATGTTTCGGCATTTTTAAATAAAAAAATATTTTTATAAAAATTGTAAAATCTTTTTATACTCGTATACTTTCTTTACACTGTACTCATATTTAGGAAAATGTTATAAAAAAATGTGACTCCAGTACAACAAAAATTTAGTTATATTTAATTTTAAAGTTGAACTAAATATTCAAGGGGCCATTTGGAAATTGAAGGGCAAAGTTTTTGCATTTTTATTTTACTGAAAACAAAATATCAGTTTAGGAAAAGATTTCTGATATTAAAAGATAGTTATGAGCATGTGTATGCATAGTATAATGAAAAGTATTTACAGTCAGAAGTCGTTAATCCGAACTCGTCGGAACTTCAGCGATTCCAGATTATAGATCATCAGTTTAAATCTGGTAAGATGGCATGCAGAAATTATAAAATTAAAAATATGAAACCATAATTAATGAAATAAAGAACAATTATGATCTAAAGGGTATCAAAATTTACAAAAAAAAGCTTAATATTTATTTGTTTACTTTATTAATAAACATTTCTTTCAATGTAAGTTGTTTAAGTTGCTTTGTTTTTTATGTGATAATACTTTCTCTTTAATTCTATAAACAGACATAATTTCTTGTTCAGTTACAAAGTTCCGCTGTTCAAGTCCTATAATTGCTGTGTCGAGAATACCGACTAATTTGTCAATCGAAATGTTTTCGTTTTCAATAACATCTGTGTCACTTTCTTCGCTATCGGAAGCGAATTATAATGACGAGGAATTTGATTTAAATCATATCAAAGACAGAGTACATCGAGATAAAATACTACATTTAGTAAGGAATTATAAGCCAAATAAAATAAAAACATCTGCCCTGAAGATAAGGATAGTGCTGACAGATCAACTTCCAATTCATCGTGCGCCGAGGCGTCCTTCCCTCTCCTGCCGCAGAGCAGCGTGAAATTGATAAACAGATTTTGGAATGGTTAAATAAACACAGGATATGCCTTTATCCATTTTTTACAGCAATTCGACTGTTTGTTTAATGGACTTCGAAACATACTTTCGCTTTGTAGATCTTTTACATATTAGTAAATATATATCAGAAATTCTATTTGACATAATCGAAAGTTCAAGCTTACTTTTATAAAATTGCTTTAACAGTCTGCAAAAAATAATAAGCCGGATCCAATTCGAAGATTAAGGAACAACGCAATCTGCAACATTAACTGAATTAGATAATTTTTACCTTATACCGTCCGTTATACATTAAACACACATTTGTAAACGTATTTTGCGCATGTGCAGACATATATTCGCAGACGTAAAGGTCTTACGCGCATGTGTCAACGCGACGCATGCGCAGAAAGTTTGTAGCTTTGAGGTCCGGATTATAGATCATTCCGGATTATGGGTGTCCGAATTAACGACTTTTGACTGTATCAATATAGTTTTTTTAAACAAGATCTTATTCACGGATTCTTATAACAAAATTGTAAACAAAAGAGCATGAAAAGTAGTAAATCACAGAAAAATGTCATTGAGTGCCATTTAAGAGGAAAGACTCAACCTTGAAATATTCTAATGTATTGTTTAACTGACCTCTAAATCAAGCTGCAAATGATGTCAGAAACGACTAATTCTGAAATTAAATATCTCCTTCGGTTTTTCTCATATAGAAGTCACACTTTTTGTGTTTTATTTTTTATAACAAGTATAGCATTTTCCTAAATATAAGTATAGGAATTGGAAGAATGTATAAAATGATGGATTTCATATACTATACAAAACAGAAGCAAACATGTTAATTTGCAATTATTCATATGTGCTTTAACTAAGTGATTGGTATTGTATTTTTATGCTTCAGCTAACTAAAATATCCACTGTATGCATAAACTTGTGATTTTCATGAATTTGGATTCCCCCTCCCCCATATAATATGAATGAAGTATATTTAAATATTCATGTTTTGAAGATGATTGTAATGATTAATTCCAAAAATAAATCAGTTTTTCTTTTATTAATTCATGTATATTTCTTCATGATCTGTAAAAATTCCATGTTTGAAATTTATCTCTTTCACTTTTGAGATGAATGAATTTAAATATATTTTTCTGCTTTTAATGTGTTGTGTATGAGAATCCATTTTTATAACCAAGTTCAAAAGTTTTTTTATTTTATTTCTTTTAATGTATTGATTCTCGTATTTTTATTTTTTCCCCTGCAGGAAACGGCCATTGATAAATGGACAGATAATTTTCAAACCTATAGATGTAAGAATTATTAGAAACTACATTCTTTTGTAGTAGAGAATTATTTAAAGAACTGGAAGCCTTCTGCTATGTTCTTATTGATCAGAATGTTTATATGGTGCTTTATTTATCAGAATGTTTGTATGGTGCAAAAATCAATTTGTATAATGTGTAGCATATATGCTTTATACAGTTTTTTAAATTTGCTAATTAGACTTTTCTAATAACTGTGCTGTTAGTGTTAAAATATTTCTCTGTGTTTCTTATTTAAAGTCATGTAAATCTTAATATATTTCTAATGTATTATAATTTCTGTAATCGTTTGGATATTGTGATGTTTTTGTGAATCGCAATATCCAAACGATTACAGAAATTATTAAATGAATCCTGTTAACTGGTACAAATAAACTTTAATCTATTTTCATAGTTTAGCAATAATTGCCTTAATGATACTTGACATAGCAGTTTCAGTATTTGTAAGTGGTATTTCCATAGTCCATAGTGAAATTTTTTATATTCATAACCGGAAGTTTTCACAAAATAATTTAGGCAGCTACCTCAAAATTCTGTTTTTCCCACATTATGAATTCCTGTGACATTCTTTTATATTATTTTCTCATAATGTTAACTGTGCACTCTAATTTAATGTATTCAAGTAAATTGTGAGTTAAAAAAAATTAAATATATTGTTTTCTCATAATGTTAACTCTGCATTCTGATTTAATTTACTTAAGTAAATTATTAAGGAAAAGGAAATATAATTCTTTTTCCCTTTTAATGTATATGTGTTGTAGTTTTGTAAAGGTTCGTAAATATGGAATTCTTTCAGTGAAAACATTCTTGTCAAATGATCAGTAAAAATGATCTCAGCTGTGTTTTGTTTACATAAAAATTGTATATACTTTTAATGTTGTTTGAGCAAAAATGTAGTTGAAGAAGCTTTCTTAAATTCCAGGTGATTCTAATTTTCATTGCTGTGAATCTGACATTCTGTTTTCATTTTCTGTTTAGTGTGATTTGTCTATTTGGATTGTAGAAATTGTATCTGGGAAGTATTTACAAAGATTTTCAGTCTTAATCTAAGCTGAAAGTTTTAAGCTTTTTAATGTGTAAGGTGTGTTTTCAAAATTGCGTATGTAAAATAAATGTGTAAAAAAATGGTTATTCAACTAAATAGAACTGTGCACTTGTTAATATAAAATCAGACATTGTGAGAAAAGCTGCCTAAAGAGTATTTTCTGAGTATTTAGTTTTTATAAGTTAATATTTCATGTTGTAGTTTGTATAATAGAGTAAAGTATACCTTCCTCTTTATGAATGTTTGATTTATTGCTGTTAAGTAACATAAGAAATAACACATACTCTTTATAATATTTGCTTTGAAGATCATCTGCAAAGACAAGCTTCTTAGTCTCTTTTTTTAATTTGCTTTCTCAAAAATTAATATTTACAGCAAAAGGATATTTGAACCTACATTATAGATAAGAAAAGCATGTCTTTTTGTAAAACTTCCTATGAGAGTTCTTTCAACATTTTTTATGGGAATGAACATAGTGTTTTTTAATTAAAATGGTATATATATATGAAAATTTAGTTTTTTTAATTAAAATGCAGGTATATTTACAAAAATTTTGCATGTGATAAAGATTTTTCTCTTTTAATATGTGATGTAGGAAATATTTTTAAAAATATTGCCAGATCACTAGTTGATTGTCTATCTTAGGAGGGATTCCTTCTTGAAGAACTTTCTAAAGATAATTCGCATATATTCAAGTTACAGCTAGGAAAAACATGTAGCCAACCTATTTATTCACAGAGAGGCAAAATAAAGTTTGGGATGACCCACTGATGTATAGTGGGTCTATATTCTCTATATGACTCTTGATTAGTGTTGTTTGTATTACATTTGTAAAAACTACATGAAATTTGAAACATTTCATTTCATTATTACATAAAACATTTTGCCTTAAATTACTTTATCCATTTGAATTTTGAAGATTTATTTAAAAGATTTTTTAAAGAATTTATTTTGCTGATTTTGTATTTATATACTTAATATTTATTATTGTAAATATAAAACTGTCTGTCAAAAATTTAACATGTGCTTAGTTTTAAAATCAAATTTGCTAAACATTCATATAAATTATTCTTATTAATAATTTCAAAGTAATGCATTGAATGAACGAAAGTAATGCATTGAATGAACAAAAAGAAAATCCTTTTTTTATTTGAATTGAACTACATATGGCTAAGCATACTAGGGCCATCTTCTACGAAGTCTACCCAACCAACTACGTATTTCGAATTTGCTCATTTTTAAGAAATTAAACATGTGAGAAAAGTAAGCATCACTTGTTTGTATTAGAAATAAGCATATACAAAATATGATACAAATACATGTAAAAATACCTTTTTTGAGTACATCATTGAAGGGGAGCCACTAATAAAATATTTAGGATATAAATCGAGCAATTTCTCTTAAACAGACCTACTGATTTGTTCATTTGCTAGCCCTGTACGAGGAAAACTTGCAAAGAATAAATATTAGAATCACTTGAATAGAATGAATTTTGATTTTCTTTTGTGGTTCATGAATTAGGAGGGAAGTATCATTGAAAAAAGGGTCATTTGCATATTTATTATACTTTTAAACAGTGGTAAAAATATTTCATTTATACATTTTCTTAAATTTGGAAGGTAAATATTCAAGTTAATGCATGTTTTTTCTAAGACACACAAGGTCCAGAATAATAAATTGGAATTAAAAGCATTTACATAAACTGCTAACAACAAGTTGTTATAAGATTTTAGCAGCAAAAATTACATTTGCATTAGGCATTAAGCAAATTTTCTTACATATATTAAAATAAATATGATAGTGAAAAAACATACTTTGGAAAGTGTAATTTAGCAAACTTGTTCTAATAATTCGAGAATATTCCACAAATTTAAAAGTGGGAGGAATGAAAAAGCATTTTAGGAACTCACAAGAAAACAATTTTTTTATTCATCATTTGGTTTTATTTCTTGTGACTGTTAGTAGTTCATAATTCTTACTCAGGTAATTATTTCCTTTTTGTGTATGTAAGAAAAAGTTGACTAGTGGTGTCATGTGCAACACATTTACTGAGCCTAGTTAACACCTTCACGCCGACTGTCACGTCTACGTGCCAGCAACGAACACACTAACTTCCCGGCCGACACGCAGGCGTGCTAGAGCATTTTCCCGTTCACTACAGACTGTCACGTATTTGTGCCAGTGTCCTGGAACATTTTAAAAACTATAATTTCTTCCACAAGATGGCACTGTATGTCCATATATGGTTTCAGATACATGTACATTAGACCCTCTACTTGAAATGAGAGAAGCATGACTCACATACACTTGTTTTGGATTATATAAACAAAAGGGAAAATAAATGTTTCCAAATGGCGTGATTTATGACGTCTTTTTAAATCGCACTTTATTCGCGCGTGGTAGTTGTTTATTTAAGTAGGGAAGTTTTATTTGTGCTAAAGCATTGGGTATTTCAGTTTGCAGTTCAGTTTTTAGAAAATAATTAGATCTTGTTAGATGTGAATACTTTCTGTTTTTACCGTTGCAATGTCGAAGCGTCGAAAATGTTTAACAGAGCATGAAATAGCAGAAATGATGCAAAATATTTAAGATATTGATTCTGAAAGATTAACTGAAAGACATTTTCCAAAATTTTGTTCAGAAGAGACTGATTAGAAAATGAGACGACGATGCTTCGTTTGTTCACATTCCCGGAAAAATCCTCCAAAACGGCAAATGAGTTATTACGAGTGCAAGGAATGTAACGTAGGACTGTGTGTAGATCCCTGTTTTCAAATTTTTCATACGAAAAGAGAATTTTAAGTAATATATTTAGTTTTCAGATGTATAATGTAAAATTCATAAAATGGTGAGTAATTAAAATAAAATGTGTAAAATATGCATTTAAACAAGAAATAAGGTAATTAAAGTATATATATATAAAAATATTTATAAAGCATAAGCCGTTTAAATACTCTATAGAGCATTATTAAACAATGCGTTGATACTTTGGAAATTTCATGGATTTAGGCTTAGTAGCAAAAAAGCCCCCGGCCCTGGACAGACGCTCGCGTAAGACACTGCCGGCCTCCGCGATAAGCGCGCGTTTGCGCTACCCAGCTCGAAGGGGTTAAAGGGAATTTGAGTCAAACACTGGGAATGGAGATCTTTATCTCTGTTATTAGCTGCTGCTGAATCCTATAATTCAGGGAAAAATTAAGTTTACAAAAACCAAGCTTTCTGATAAGATTTGGCATACTTTGATTATTACTTACAAATTAAAAATATTTGTACCTTTCCATGCAGAATTTAGATGTGTGTCTAATATTTTATTCAATTTTATTATTGCTATTTTATGCAGTATAAAACCATTAATCATCAGATTGACAAATTTTCATTTTTTACTTGCTCCCTAAATTTGGTTGAAAAACATTGCACAAAACTCTCACTAAAAAGTGATCTAATTCAAAAAGCGTGGTTTTGTAAGTGGATCTATCTAAGGTCAACATTTAGAAAGTAAAAATTCTTGCTGTCATCTTTTTCCATGCATCCCATATATGTGCTGTATAAACTGAATTCTCAACCTTTCCCCAGTGAAAATAGAAATCACGAGTTATAATAATTTTTCTGTTTTACTAGAAATGTATATATACCATATGACATGAATCAGGGTTGCCACTCAAACAGGAGAATGAAATTCCCTGACTTTTCCAGGTATGTTTCGAGAAAATTCCAGTCTATCCGCGTAATGTAGGTTGGCTGTGCAAAGAGGTAAATTAATTATGGTATTATTTGTACTGTGTAGCAAATTCACTTAATTATTCAATAAATCCAAGAGGACATTTATTCTTAATTATTCTTGGTACACTTTGTTTGATAATTTTGTTTACTTTTCCGCTTAAAAAACTTAATAAAATTTAAGATATATACATTGGATAACAACTGTACGTTTTATTTAATTATTACTCATGATCATCCCCAGTTCAACACGAGGCTAATCCGGTTCTTATAAATCACAACGCAATGCTAAAAGTTAGGTTAGATTTTAGGTAAATTTAATTTGTGTGATGTGTCTTCTTAAAAGGCACCTTAAAACACTTGAAAAACACAAATATTATTATAATAGGAGTTGTTTTCTCCACTGAAGATTGAGATTAGAATCTGCCAAATCTGGAATAAAATAAGGCTTTTTTTTTTTTTTTTTTTTTTTTTTTTCAGACATTCTGCAGCCTAAACGAAAGAAATTTATTTAATGATATTTTTTTTACTAAATTGAGGTATTTTATATTTATTTCGCAGCATGCATAAGGAAAAAATATGTGCATTAAATTTCGTGATGTCATTATACTGCTAGAATTAATTTCAGGATTATGTCAGAGAAAATTTCCTGAAATTTGGAAATATTATTTACTAATGATAAATAAATTTAGAGGGAAGAAGCAACATTAAATGATATGAATAACATAAAAATAAAGATAATTACTTAAAAATTTAATTAGAATAATCAACGATATTTTAGCGAATATAGTTATATTACATGGTTATCCTAGATGATTGATTACTATTTTTTTATTTTACTGCAAAATGACAAGGTATTTATTAAAAAGAAAAGAAAAAAAAAAAAAAAAGATTTTGCGGTAAAATCCTAGTATACGATACGGCCTTCGCATGATTTTGAAAACTGGCGCCAAGAACAAAATGACCCGTTTACTGCTCATCATCATGTCGCCAAATCCCGCTGTACCATACATGGAGATTGTTCTAACCAAAGAACGTCTATGTAAAAAGCGGAGGGAAAATTTGCCAAGGGATTTGGCGGCCAGAATTTCCCTCTCCGCGATGTGTACAGGAAGTTGAGAAACACGTGTTAAGAAGAAACGTTCTTAGACAAAAAAGAAAACTACGAAAATCCGTTTTTAAATTATTGCGAAAATTCCAAGAAGAAACGCTTTATCAAAGAACGTTTTTTCTTAGATTTTTCGCAATAATTTTAAAAACGGATTTTCGTAGATTTCCCCCCCCCCTCAAAATAACTAATCCATGAATTAATTTACTTGCGCCAAAAAATATTTTCTTTTCCTTTAGAGTTTAAAGAAATTTTAACGATATTCATTTTATGAACTCTTGATAACGTGACCTTCGAACTTCGACACCGATTTCGAGCTACGACAGATATATCGCGCATGCACAGCTGTTCCCCGCTATGATGGAACGGAGAAACATCTGTTGCAGAGAGGTTTTTCCTTCTTTACAATACATAT